ATTCCACGTGATGGCCTCAAAAAATGTATTTTTATTTCATAAATAGCTTCCTTAGCATGTCGAAGTCGGCTAAAAGATACAGCAATTAGTAGAAGGAGCTGTTAAGCTGTTGTTTAAGCGGACTTGAAACTTTAAATGTGTTTTTCAAACTTTGTTCCATCGTATCACAGAAACGGCTTGTCCGATCGAATTCAAATGGGCAGGGTACACTCAGCACATGTAAAAGCATTAAATTTCGATTTTTTATCGCGAAAAAACACGTATAACGCCGCTACTTTTTTGGTATCAGATAAGCCAAACAACCGGAATCATGGAGGAAGTGCGTTGCCATTTTTTTAAGTCGTAAAACGTTACAATACAGTAATTAGAGTGCATTTCAAGGCTACACAAATGAATATTTGAACGATTGTGAAATTAATTAAGTTCTATATTTGAGACCGAAATCATTTGGCTTGAATGTGTGTGATTTGAAGTCTGCTATAAGTACGCAGGCAATAATTTAGGGAAACCTTTGTTAGAGAACTGTTTGATTTGAAACTGGCGACTTGCTTTCATTGTGTCAGCTTTAATTGAGTTTCGAACTACAAGCTAATTACATACTATTTTTAAATATGTGGGTACATAATTATATTGGTTTTTGCGTTGTGACCGTTTGTTTTTATTATTTTGAATTTTTTATGAGAAACTTGTGCATGTTTTCCGATTTAGAGCTTATAAGTTGCATATTGTAAAGTCTTAAGACAATTATGTAAGTAGGTAAGTGTTTTTTTTTTTTTTTKAAAAATCGCGCGATTTTCAGCTTTCGTTAGTTTCTTCATTGCATTGCATTTATATTGCTTCTGATTATTATTCATATTACTAATTGCACATATGTATGTATGAACGCTTGGTAAACATATCTACATACATATATGCTCATATACATATATACGTATTTATGTATGTGTGAATATTTACAAATGTATTCTGCATGCATTAAGTGTATTTTAAAATTGTAAACTGTTTTCTATACAATGTTTGAATTTATGTGCCATATACATATATATACATATACGAATATATGTCTGTATACTAATGATTTTTAAAATTTTTCTGTTTTTGTTGCATTTAGTTGTCACATTAGTAACTCGGCGTTGTTTCCCCGTTGGAAGTGGCCTCTGTAGTGGTTGCTTGGGTACATATCGGTACATACTTCAAATGCACTTCTGTGCAAATCGGTTTTTTGCCCATTCTTGTATGTAAGACTCTAGTTTATGCGCTTCATTACAAGCTTCAATTGAAGGCAAAAAGGTAGAATAGCATGTGATACATACTATACATATGAATGTAATTGTAGATGTATGTCTTGCCGCGTAGTTCTTTTTTCTGTTTTGGGTGGGTATCCAGTGAGCTCATGCTTTTTCTTAGCAAAATTACTTCCCAGTTCAATGTATATAACGGTATGTGTGTTTCATACTTATACAAGTGTATATGAGATGTAATGTAATTCAAACTTTGTGTTTTTGTTGTTGTAATGCACTTGTTATATTGAAAAAATATTTATCTCGCAATTTCATTAATATTTTACTTTTGTTTTCATCACCATATTTTGGTTTATTTTAATTTATTTATGAAATACCCTGCAACTTCAGTTAATATCACAGATTTAATAGATAATTTTTTTTTTAATTTAAGTGAAGAAAAAATCGAAAATTACTATACTTTTCATATGCACATACATACACACAAAGTGAACTAAAATATTATTGCTGACTTATACTTAATTGTATGTAATGCTGTCAGCGTTTTTGTTTAATATATT